TCTTCTCCTCCTTCTGCTTTTCCTCCTCCTCCTCCTCCTCCTTCTTCTCCTTCTCCTCCTTCTCCTCCTCCTTCTCCTTCTCCTTCTCCTCCTCCTCCTCTTCCTTCTCCTCCTCCTCCTCCTTCTCCTCCTCCTCCTCCTTCTTCTTCTACTTCTTCTCCTTCTCCTCCTCCTCCTCCTCCTCCTCCTCTTCCTTCTCCTTCTCCTTCTCCTTCTCCTCCTCCTCCTCTTCTTTCTCCTCCTCCTCCTCTTCTTTCTCCTCCTCCTCCTCCTCTCTCCTCCTCCTCTTCTCCTTCTCCTCCTCCTCCTCCTCCTCCTCTTCCTTCTCCTCCTCCTCCTCCTTCTTCTTCTCCTTCTCCTCCTCCTCCTCCTCCTCCTCTTTCTTCTCCTCCTCCTCCTCCTCCTCCTCTTCCTCTTTCTTCTTCTATCTTAGATTTTACAGATGAGGAAACCAAGGCCCAGGGAGGGGAATTGACTTGCCCAAGGTCACACAGATAGTAAGGGTCAGAGGCAGGATTTGAACCCGGGTTGTCTGACCAATACTCTTTCCATTGTACCATGCTTGTTGACAGACTGCCTTTCGTTGTATCCCTGTGTATAGTGCCTTGGACATGGTAGGCCTTTTAATAAATGCTTCTTGACTTAACTGATCGACTGGACATAAACTCCTTGTTATCCAGTCTGGTTCTGTGCAGAAGTGGCCACCACAGAATCCACATGAGAACTAAACATCCCTGCAATCTCTCTTATCAGTGATCAGTATCTCATCCTCCCCACCCAGCAGTTCTATTATTTTGAACCTTTTCTTTTTCCTCAAGATAGCTTTGAAAAGATTCCTTTTGGGACCCTCAGCCCCCCTGTCCCTTAGTCCTCAGATGGTGCCGAAGTCTCCTGTTCCTCCTCAGTTACCCAGCCTTAGTTTCCCCTTTTGTGCCCATCTTCTAAGAATCATCCTCAGCCATAAAAAGGGCATGACTAATCCAGAGAATAAATGTTTTTCCAACCCCAATTTACTTCATCTTCTACCTATAATTGGCTTCTGACCGTCCCACCTTGGGCACGTCTCAGCTCATAGACATGCCTTATTCTGTCCTTCTTGCTCTTGGTGACTCATAGAAACATCACAGGCAAATGTCTGCCTCTTTCTGGAATTAATGATGTTACAAAGAAGGTGCCTGTCCATTGGGGAATGGCCAAACAAGGTGTGGTACATAAAGGTGAAGGGTGGCGTGCTCATCAGATTGGCAGATGGCAAAGAGCTGGGCCAGGTAGCTAACACTGTGGACAACAGGCTAGGTAGAGCAGTGGGCTGAATCTAGTAAGATAAAATTCAGTAGGGATCTTGTAGGGCCTTGTACTTGGAGACCAAACACCAACTTCATGATGATAAAATCAGGAGACCAAAAGACAACAATGGCTCTGAAAAAGGTCTGGGGTTTTCGATGGACTGCAAGTCCAATAGGAATCAGCAGGTGCTGAGACAGGCCAAAAAGTGAATGAGATCTTGGGTGGCATTAACAGAGGCAGAACTTCTAGGACCAGGGATCACGGCTCCTCTGTATATGGCCCTAGTTAGACTCAATCTGGTTCAGCGCCGAGCACCATGAAGGTCATTTATCATAGGAGGGTGTGTAGAGGAATGCAACCAGGATGGGGAAGGGCCTTGGAGTAGGAGTTAAAGGAACTGGGTAGATGTCTAACCTGAAGAAGGGAAGGCTCAGGAGGGACGTGATTAATGACTTCAAGTGTCAGGTCAGTCAGTGTGTCAATAGGCATTTATTAAATGCCTCCTGTGTGCCAGGCCCCCTACTAAGTACTGGGGATGCAAAAAGAGGCAAAATGATAGTTCCTGCCCTTAAGGAGCGGAATTCCACTCTAATGGGGAGACCACAAGCAAATAATACATACAAACAAGCCCTAACCAGGAGAAATAGGAAATGAGTAAGAGGCTAGAGAGGAGGGGTGAGACCTGTTTTACCTAGATTCTAGCAAAGCTTTTACTACAGCATTTCCTGCTATTCCTACGGAGATGATGAAGAGGTAGACATTGGACAATGATTCGATACGATGGACTCAGAAGGGGTGGAGAGTCGGAAGGGACCCCAAAGGCTGGCATGTCCAGCCAGCTCACAAAGAATGCATTTTTTTCGTTAGCAGTCATTAGTCCCAGGGAGAAGGGTAGATGCTTGTCAGCTGTGATGTTCCGATGAGTCACTGTTGTCTGGAGCCAAGAGCAAGAAGGCCAGAAGAAGAATGTCCAGTGCTTAGGTCAGTGCCTGGCACCCGTCTTAGTTGTTCGGTCATTTCTCAGTGGTACCCAACTCTCTGTGACCCCATTTGGGGTTTTCTTGGCAAAGATACTGGAGTGGTTGGCCGTTTCCTTTTCCAGCTCATTTTACAGGTGGGGAAACTGAAGCAAACAGGGTGAAGAGACTTGTTCAAGGTCACACAGCTAGTAAGTGTCTGAGGCCAGACTTGAACTCAGGGAGATGAATCTTTCCGATTCTGGGCCTGGCAGTCTATCCGCTGCATTACCTAGCTGCCCACCCGGCACACAGTAGGTAGGCCCTTGTGGACTTGACATCTATGGGCTGAGCAGAATCAGGGCATGGCAGAAAGCAATGGCTGGAAGCTGTGCAAAGGCCAACTGAGGCTCAGAAAAGGGCTTTTAACACAGAAAGCTGTTCCAGAATAGAATGAGCTGCCTCCAGTTATGGTGGGTCAGTGTCCTCCTTTGAAGTTTTTAGGCAGAAGCCTACTTGTTGGGTATGGTAGAGTGGGGTAGCCTGTGAGGTTCCTTCCACCTTCAAGCGTATGGTCTTATGAACAAAAAGGTGAGCCTGAATGCTGTATAACAACTAGGTTTGGCTCTTTGAGAAGAGATGAGAAAATGCACCTTCCTTGCTTCTTTGCCAAGGTGGGGGACTATGGGTGTGGGGTGTTGCATATACTGTCAGCAGGTCGATATGTTGGTTAGGTTTGCTGAACTGCCTTTTTTCCTCCTCATAAAAACAGACACCGGCCTGCACCAGCATTCTAAGAATTGGAGCCATCCTCCAACACCTTTACACTGGATGGAGTCTCCTCCTCTTCCTCCTCCTCCTCTCTGGCGGTCTCCAGGCAGAGGGTAGATGGTCGTCTGTTGGAGGCTGGAGACAGGATTCTTGCTCAGGTACAAGATCTTTGAGATTCTGGGATTCTATGGGTTGAGATTCAAGGGAATCTGAGCTCTTAAAAATTGGAGGAGACAACCCTAAGGGGCAGGAGGGAGTCATCTGTCAGTGAAAGTCTTTAACCAGGCACCTGGTGTTCTACGGTAGAGATGTTTCAAGGTTCTGAGGTTTCCAGGTTCAAGCTTTAGTTAGAAGTAGAACCATTCAGTTAGTTAACAAGGATCTGTTAAGTCCCACTATGTGCAGACACTGATGTCTTCAGATCTCTCCCAGTTCTTGCATCAAATGAAGGACCTGGGGACCTTTGGCCAGGAGTAGAGAAGTCTCTAGGAAAATGTGATTCCTGTTTTCAAGTATCTAAAGGACTGCTGTATGGAGGATAAACCAGCCTCAGGAAGACTTTCCGAGGTGTTCCCAAGTGGAATGGGCTGTCTGGGGAGGTAGTGTGTGCCTTATTATCCACGTTTTTCAAGTGGAGGCTGGGGGATCATTTGTCAAGCATGGTTTTAAAAATGATTCTGGGGCAGCTAGGTGGTGCAGTGGATAGAGCACGGGCCCTGAAGTCAGGAGGACCTGTGTTCAAATCCACACTCGGAGCAAACACTTGACACTTACTAGCTGTGTGACCTTGGGCAAGTCACTTAACCTCAATTGCCTAACAATGAAAAAACAATGTATTTAAGAATTATTCTGAACTTCATAAGCACCAAGCAGAACAGATCACGAGGACTGCATTCAGCCCTGACTCTCCGTGACCCCCTTTGGGGTTTTCCTGGCAGGGATACTGGAAGGGTTGGCCATTTCCTTCTCCAGCTCATTTTACAGATGGGGAAACAGAGGCAGGCAAACCAGGTTAAGTGACTTGCCCAGGGTCACACAACTAGCGTCTTTGCATATGAAACCCTAAATCTCCATAATATAAAGCTTGCTTTTCTTTTCTATAATAAATTCCAAGGGTTATTTTCAAAGATGTCCTGAACTGAATTGAATTAAATGGTATATACCTCCCAGTAGAGGAGAGAGGCCACTTCATTCGTCTTTGTATCCCCAGCACAGACCACTGTGCCTGCTGGAGATCCCACCCTTAACTGTCCATTGGCACTGAATGGGGTCTTTCTTTATTTTTTTGGCAATTGGGGTTAAGTGAGTTGCCCAGGGTCACACAGCTAGTGTCAAATGTTTGGTCTGAGGCCGGATTTGAACTCAGGTCCTCCTGATTCCAAGGCTGGAGCTCTATCTACTGTGCCACCTACCTGCCCCTGAATGGGGTCTTTCTAGATTCCCCCTAGCTAGGGCTCCCTTGAAGTTCTGAGGTCGCATAACCAATCAGCAAGCATTTATTAAGCACCTAGTATGTGCCAGGCACCGGGCCAGCTCCTCCGGCTGCGGGTAGGAGGCATGAAGCAAGCCCGCGCTCCAGGAGCCTCCATTCTAAAGGGGTCGAGCAGGACACAGGGAAAGAACATCAAGGTGGATCTGCGGCTAAATCAGAGGTAGTTTGGGAGGGAGGTCAGGAGCCTTTGTCTAGCTCCTCCTGCACGACCAGCGCAGCTGCGCCTGGTGGAGACAAAGTGACAGGGAAAGCCCCGCCCCCCCAGGAGCCGCCACTCCCACTGCACGTGGACCCAGACCCCGCAGAGGAAGCTCCTCCTCCCGACGCGCCCGGGAAGCTCCGCCCCGCCCGCGAACCCACCACGTGCAGCCTCCGCGTGCCCCGCCCCCGCCCCGCCCCCGAACGAGGCACCGCCTCATTGGCCGCGACGCGGACGCCGCCGCGTGACGTCACCGAGCGCCCGTCGCACCGCGTGACGACGAGCGGGCGTCCAGCTGTGGGGGAGGGGACAAGATGGCGGCGTCCGTGGGGCGAGCGGGGCCCGTGCTGGGCCTGTGGGTCCCGCCGAGGATGAGCAGGTGGGCCCGGGGTCGGGGGCTCAGGAGCCGGGGGGCTGCTGGCGGAGGCTTGGGGGGGGACCGGCGGGGGCGGGAGTAGGAGCTCTCCGCGGGCCGAGCGGCCTCGATGCCTCAGTTTCCCCGTCCCTGACTTGGAGCGGGTGGGATTAGGAGCCTGAGGGGTCCCCGAGACCTGACAGCCCCTCCCCCCATGAGCTGTGTGATCTTGGGTGAGGCTGGAAGGCCCTGGGCTGCCTTAGTTTACCCATGTGTTACATAAGGGGTTGGCCTGGAGCTCTGGGGGTCCCCTCAGAGAGCTGACAAGCCCTCCCCCATGATCTGTGTGATCTTGGGTGAGTCTGGAAGGCCCTAGGCTGCCTCAGTTTACCTATCTGCGACTTGGAGGGCTGGCCGATTTGTTCCGTAGTTTCGAGGCTAGCATTCTGTGTAAAGGGTAGACGTGGGTTAGAATCCTGGCAGACGATGTGACCTTGGACCAGTCCATGCCATTGCCTCTCTGGGCTGCCTCAGTTTCCTCCTTCGAGGGCTTTGGACAGTGGCTCCTTCTAACCCTGACGGCCTGTCTTCCACCTGGTGTGTGATTTTGCCGGAGTCCCACACCTTCCCTCAGTAAAGTGGGAGTGGAAAACGGAGGTCTCTAAAACCGGCTCTGGATTAGGAATCTGGCCGCAGTCTAGCCCAGCACCTGGCACATAGTAGGTCAGCACTTCGCAAACGTTTGTTGACTGACTGACTGGTGGTGTGGCTGCTTCCTGGCCGGGAGACCTCTGTCGGATCAGCTCAGTTCTTTGGGCCTCAGTGTCTTCCTTTGTAAAACGAGTGGGATGGACCAACTAGATGGCCCTCGAGGCCGCTGCTCTCTCGAGTTTTTCTTATTCTGCCAAGGAGGTCTTGAGTCTGAGGATTCTGTGGCCCCTTTCATTCTGGGAGGGGTTTGGTAGAAGGACCGTCTGCGTTTGTGTTCTTGGCGCTCAGCATTGGGCAGATCACTTCTTCTCCTTTGGAATGGGTGGTCTTTAGAGGTCGCTTACACGACCAGCTTCTGGGGGCTAGGTGACCTACACATGGTCCCTGCTCCACTCAGAGTTCCTCTCCTTGTCTTTAAATCGCGGATGGAAACGGTGCAGTGGGAAGGAAGAGCCCTGGCGTCAGGGGGCCTTCGGCTGCTGCCCCCCCTTCGCTCACTGTGTGACAGGGCCAGTGGGCGGCCCCCTCCCCTCTTCGGCCCCTGCTGCCCTGTGTTCTCTCGGTGACTGCGTCTCTCCCGCTTAGTGGCCCTGATGTCTCGGGCTCCTTCCAGCAGCACTCCTTCGGAGTCAGAATCTTGGTCCTGCTACTAAGTCGTTTGGTGATCCGGGCCAAGCTACTTTCAGAACTTCATTTTCCTCATTTGCAAAATGGAGAGTGCACGTGAATTGTTTTATTTTTAAAAGTTTTAAATCAGTTTTATTTTCATCTTCTAATTGTTTCTCCAGTCTCCCCCTGCCTCCGCAGAGAAAGCAAGAAAAACATAACCTGACCCAGGCATGAATAGTGAAAAGGCAAGCCGAATTCCCGCATCGGCCACATTCCCCCTCCCCACATAAACGTGCCTCAGTGTGCACCGGGTCCATCAGGCAGCACGTTCGTGATGAGTGGTAGCTGCCCCTCGTGGCGGGCTAGGTGATTCCCGCGGCCCTTCCTTGAGCGTGGTCTAATTAGGGGAGAGAGCTCCAAGTGTGGAGTCAGGAGGGACTCCTCTTCTGTCACCTTTGCGTCTCCTGGCCCTGGCCCAGGATTGTGCCCGTAGCCGGTGCTTGGGTTGAGTTGGATGTAATTGCATTTAAATCTCAGTTCAGCCGCTTAGTATCAGTGTGACCTTGGACAAGTCCCTTATCCTTTCTGGGCCTCAGTTTTCTCCTGTCTAAATGAAGGGCCCTCTTTGCAGCCCCCCAGCAGCTCATAAACTGGGTGTCGTGTTTCCCAGGACTCCTTAACCTTGGTGCTGTCCCTCTGAGACCAGCTCCAGGTTTCTTCTTTCCTGGCCTGTTTCTCCCCAGGGGTCTGCACGTTGTCTCCTCGGTTAGACTGGGAGCTCCCTGAGGGCAGGGACTGTCTCTTGCCCTTCTTTGTATCCCTGGTGCTTAGCACAGTGCCTGGCACATAGTAGGTGCTTCATAAACGCTCACGGACTGGATGACTGGCCTGGTTCAGATCTGAAGGTGGACAGAGGCCGGAGAGGGTCAGGTGCAGGAAAAGCTGGTGAGGACGTGCTTTGAGCCCAGGTGCTCCATTAGGCCGTGGGGGGACCGGTGTCATGGCCTCGTTTTGCCAGCAGGGGTCAGCCCTGTGCCTCTGCTTGCCCAAGCTTGTCATGGGTACCAGGGCACAAGAGGAGGCAGGAGAACAGTCCTTCCCTGGGCCTCACGGTCCCTTCCCAGAGCACTTTAGCTGAAAAGCAGAATGGTGGCCTCTCACCGCCTCATCCACTGCCCTGGGTCGGGTGCTGGGCTGTGGACCAAGGTTATGCATAGGCCCTGGCCCCTGAGCTCCCCAGGGGTACCCAGGAGAGTACTGAGAGAGGACGGGACGGGCCAGGGCCAAAAAAAGTGAGTCACTGAGCCCTCATTAAGCGCCTCCTCGGTCCCTGGCGCTGTGCAAGGGGTACAGAGTCCTCAAAGAGCTAGGTGGTGCAGTGGTTAGAGCACCGGGCCTGCGGTCAGGAAGACCCACCTCCCTGAGTCCAAATCTGGCCTCGACACTTCCTAGCTGTGTGACCCTGGGCAAGTCACTTCACCCTGTTAGCCTCAGTTTCCTCATCTGTAAAATGAGATGGAGAAGGAAATGGCAAACCACTCCAGGATCCCTGCCAAGAAAACCCCACATGGGCTCAGACACAGCTGAACAATGACTGCACATGAACACTCGGAGCTCACACTGTACCGAGGGTTGGGACACGTACAAAGCAGACACAAAATGACCTTGGACGGGAAAGCCTTTGCAGTCAGGCGGGTCGAGGAAAGCCTCCTGCAGAAGGTGCTGCCTGAGCTGAGTCCGGAAGGAAACCGGGAAGCCAAGACTGCAGGTAAAGGTGGCCGAGGCACCAGAATGGAAGAGGGAGCATTTTGCATGGGGAACGGGAAGGAGTGCAGTTGGACTGGAATGTAGACTTTGTGGGGGAAATAGCATGAAAGCAGGCCGGAAAGATAGGTTGGCCCCAGATTCTGAAAGGCAGGGCAGTGACCTGGCCATACCTAGGCTTTGGGAATAGCAGTTAGGTGGCTGTGGGGACAGGCGGGGAGAGCCTGGAGCCAGGCCTGTTAGGAGGTGGTGCAGGAGGAGGGGGCTTGGAGGCCGAAAATAGGGTGGTGGCCAAGTGTGTGGAAAGAAGGGGCGGGTATGGGAGATGCCAAAGTAGTCAGGGAAACGTGGCAGCTAATTGGCTGTGGGGGGGAACAAGTCAGGAATGACTCCTCAGTTGTGAACCTGAGGGACTGCGAGAATGGGGGCAACCCTGACTGAAAGAGGTGGGGCACATTTAGAGCGGAGAGCACGTTCTGAGAAAGACTAGTAAGATGGTGACGTGGCAGGACCCTGAGGAGCCCAGAACCCCCCAAACACCCCGGGGAAGCAGTCAATCCGTACACATTTAGTGAGCTCCTACTGTGTGCGGGGCACCGTGTCAAGTGCTGGGGATACAAAAAGAGGCAAAAGTCAGTCTCTGCCCTCGAGGAGCTTACAGGCAGAAGGGAAAGACGATATGCAAACAGGTATGTACAAACAAGCAGCATGTAGGAGAAAAAGGAAGTGGTGAACAGAGGGAAGGCCCGGAATTCAGGGGGCTGGGGAAGCTGGGCTTTTAGCTGGGACAGAAGGAAGCCGGTGGTCAGCGGTCAGAGCGCAGGAGGACAGCCAGAGAGAATGCCCTGAGCCGAGCGATGGAGGTGAAGCTCAGGAATGTACCACTGATGGGCAGCTAGGTGGCGCAGTGGATAGAGCTCCGGCCTTGGAGTCGGGAGGACCCGAGTTCAAATGCATTCTCAGACACATGACACACAACACTTACTAGCTGTGTGACCCTGGGCAAATCACTTAACTCCAATTGCCTAGCCAAAAAATAACTAACTAAATAAATAAATAAACAAGAATGTACCAGTGAGAGAGGAATAAGGAAGATGACCTACCCACTCCTCCCCACAGCCCAGGGGTGCACAGAGAGACCACTGGCATCTCAGAAAAGATGAGCTGGGGCGGGTGGAAAGCCCGAGGCAGAGCCTGGCACCGGGGATGGTCCTGGAGTCGTTGGACGAGATCCCAGCCCCAGGGCCTAGCAGCAGGAGAGGAGCCCCCGGCAAAGCACTGCTCAGGGGTGACCCAGAGCCCTATGGCAAGAGGTGGGCCCTGCAGAGCTCAGTGAGGGGTCCTGGGCAGAACTCAGTGTGACTGTGGCCCTGGAGTCTCCATAACAGCTGGAGAAAAAAAGGCCTCAGAGGCAGAGCCACCAGGAGCTTTGGCCAAGTAGAAGCTGAGCCAAGAGTGGGAACTAGGCATCCCCATCATAGCCTGGCCTCTGGGCATCCTGGACCCTGAACCACAGCAGGAGGGCAGGTCTGGATTTTGACCCAAGCTCAGGCTCCCCTGAGCTCACCCAGTTGCAAATGTTCACATGCTAATGAAGGTAAAACACACATTTATTAAGCTCTTGCTGTGTGTCAGGCCTTGTGGTAGGTGCTTTCCATACTGCATGTTTGATTCTCACAGTCCTGTGAAGTAGGCGCTGTTATTGCCATATTTTATTTTTCCACGGATGAGGAAGCCGAGGCTTCTCCTTCTCCTGAGGAGAGGGTAAATGACTTGCCCAGGGTCACACAGTTAGGAAGTATATGAGGCTGAATTTGAACTTGGGTCTTCCTGACTCCAGGCCCGTGCTCTGTGCACTGCCCCACCTAGCTGCCTCTTTTCAGAGCCCTCATCTCTTTAAGAGTCATAGAGCAGGTAAATATGACAGACAGAGGGTTTGT